GGGGGGCAGGGCGTTTCCAGGGCGGGGCGGACCGCTCTGCCAACGCATAGGCTAAAAGATCTGGTGGGTGGGTATGTTGGAAAGGTAAGTTGGGCCAGATTTCAGAGCCTTGAATGCCGTGCCAAGAAGTTCGTACTTGATCTTCTGGGCATGCAAATGCTCCAGTAGGATTCTGAAGCAAGAAAGTGACAAGGTCGCTCTCGCGTTGGCACGGCTGTTGTGCCAAAAGAGATGGCATGAGGAGAGGGACAGGAAGTTGAGAGAAAGAGTTGGGGATGGGGCTCTGACTTACTTCTGGTGCCAGGGATATGCAGGAGTCTTTTACGAAGGCGGCTCGTCGGGGATGGGGGTGGAAGACAAGCAGTTGGAAGTGGCTCTCAGGGGTGTCGTGGCTCGGGCTGTGCTGGGCGGTCCCACCCATGAGGTGCCCCGGGCACTCCCTGGGTCGTGCCCTCGTCGCAGCGCAGGCCCGAGAGCCCCCGGACTGAACCTCTGTGCGCCCTCTGGCCGCGCTGGGCCCAGAGACCCCCCCAGGGCGCAGGGGGCAGTAAGAGCGTGGCGGTGGTTTGGAGTGTCCAAGGAGCCACACGGTAAGTTACGTTCCTGTCCCGTGGGCTCGGGGAACACGTGGGCGCGGGAGGGTTGTACTAGGTCTGCATGCGCGGGGACCGCTCAGCCCTCAAGGCCCAAGTCCCCGGGCACTGCCTGCCCTGACCGGCCCGGAGCTTTATGTTTGCTTGTTTCTTTGGCTTCCAGCTTAAACTCCTCAAGGGCCTACACTGTGATTTCTTCTTCTACGTGTTCGTGTCCCCTTTGAGTCTCGGTTCTTCTCCTCCGCCCCTGGCCTGGCCTGGCGTGTGGCCTCAGGACGGTGTGACTGGATCCAGGTGACAGCCCTCGGGTGGGGAGGTCCCCTAGCAGATGTCTCCCTACCTCGACCTTCTGGGGCTCAGGCCAAGCTGCCCAGAGACGCCCACCGCGACTGTCTGCGTGTCCAGGGCCCAAAACATCACTCTTCACACCTTTGCTTTTAAAGGGTTCCTTTCTCTCATTTTTTTTTTTTCAGGGAACAAAGACGAGAATTGTATCTGAGCCAGGCAGAGACGTGCTCTGGATTCAGCAGGCTGAGAGCGTTTATTTTTCCTTTTTTTAAACCAATGTCATCGTGATCATCTCAAGGCAGACACACCCCAAATGTGACACACACATTGGGACAGTCACTATGAGAATTTTAGGCAGAACAGGGCCACGGAATTAAATAATTAGATCACACTGGCAAACGATTCTATCTTTTTCAACTCTCTTTCAGATATTCTGCTGTTTTTTTTTTTTTTTTTAGACAGAGTCGCTCTCTGTTGCCCAGGCTAGAGTGAGTGCCGTGGCCTCAGCCTCGCTCACAGCAACCTCCAACTCCTGGGCACAAGCAATCCTCCTGCCTCAGCCTCCCAAGTAGCTGGGACTACAGGCATGCGCCACCGTGCCTGGCTAATTTTTCCTATATATTTTTAATTAGCCAATTAATTTCTTTCTATTTATAGTAGAGACGGGGTCTCGCTCTTGGTCAGGCTGGTTTTGAACTCCTGACTTTGGGCGATCCTCCTGCCTCGGCCTCCCAGAGTGCTAGGATGACAGGTGTGAGCCACGGCGCCCGGCCTAATTTTCCTTTTTTAAACCAATGTCATCATGATCATCTTAAGGTGGTGATGCCCCCTCGAATGTGACACACACACTGGGACAGTCACCGTGAGGATTGTAGGCAGAGCAGGGCCACGGAATTAAGTAACTGGATCACGGTGGCAAACGATCCTCTCTTTCTCAACTCTCTTTCAGACATTCCGCTGTGTCAGCGAGGATGCGGCAGGCGGAGGCTGCCTGGTCTTTACCACCTCCCTCGAGCTGGCCTTTCAACTGATTTCCCTTTTAACAAAGAGCCCAGCTTGGTGCGACATTGTGTCATTGTGGCTAGATTCGGTTTGCAGGGCACCACTGGCTGTGCAGAGGGGATACAAAGTCTCCCTTCGAAACTCAACTGGAGTTGAGACTACTGTGTCCCGGAGGGAAAAAAAAGTTGAGACGTGGCACCGGCTGAAATGCTGCTGTGTGCCGTGGGGACACTCAGGACACTCGGGAGCCCATTCCCGAGGGCATTTGCTCGTCCCAAAGGGGCTCCACGGGCGTTCCCGGGCTCTGTGTCCCAGGAGGTGTCGCTCTCTGTCTCCCCGAGAGACGGAGGAGCGACCGTGTCTATGGGGTGCTGAGCAGGGTCTGGGCGCCCTCCCAGGAAACCGGGGTTGCCAACCCCTTCTCCGGGTGTCCCCCGGGGCAGCGGTCACTCCCTGTTCTCACAGCCCGGTTCCCGCTGTCGGGGCTCCGAGCATTTCCCCCGGCTGGGAGGGCGGGGGCGTGCAGCGCCCCGACGCCTGTCCCGTCGCCCGGCTCGCCCGCCCTGCCGCCGCAGTGGGGCGCTGGGGACTGACGGCCCAGCCCCTGGTGACCCTGCGGGAACGGGTGAGCCGCGGCTGGGGGACAGTGGCCCAGAGCCCCTGGGACGCCTCCTTCCTAGGGAGCCGGGTCTGTGACTGCGACAGGACGGCAGCAAGGACACAAGGCCACGGAGACAGGCCCAGCACGAGCGTGGCTGCACCAGGACACGGCAACGCGAGACAGAATGCGAGAGAGAGAGAGAGAGAGAGAGAGAGAGAGAGAGACAGAGAGAGACAGAGAAGGGACTTTACCGTGTGCTGCTCCTGTTGGTGGCGTCGCATGGAGAGACAGATCGTAAGCGGCCTCAGAGGAGAGAACACAGAACACGCACGTGCACACGCAGCCCGCCCCCCCGCGCCAGGAGCGCAGCCTCGGGCTCCGGCCGGCGGCCGTCCTTCCATCCGGAAGCCCCCGCGTGTCCCCCGCCCTCGGCAGGCCCGGCACTGCCCGGCAGCTCCGAGGAGGCCAGGTTCGCAAGTGGCAGGGCGGCTGCCAGTCACCAAGGGCAGATCCGCCTCCGCAAGTCACTGCCAAGAGCTGGAGAAATCGCCCTTTCCTCCAGAGGTTCTGCGGCTGGGAGGCTCCACTTTACTTTTGAGACAAGAGTCTCGCTCTGTCGCCCGGGGTAGAGGGCAGTGGCGTCAGCCTCGCTCACAGCAACCTCCAACTCCTCCTCGCCCTTCTGCTCAGTTCCTATTTAGGTTTCTCTATGAACATTCCCACGAACCTATTAAGAGCGAATATTCCGTGACGCCCGCTTTGGTCAGGGTGCTAGGATGACAGGCGTGAGCCACCGCGCCCGGCCTGGTTTTAGAGTGTCTTAAAGGTTGTGAGCTTTGACGTTATGGGGACCTGGGTTTGAATCCTCGTTGTGCCACTAAAAACCCTCATCTGTAAAGCAGGCCTGCGGGGGCCTGTGGCCTTGGCTTTGTTCTTTAACTTACGAGGGAGGGGACAGCAGAGAGGTCTGGTTGGGGGCGGAATCAGAGGCAGCTCTGCGGAGCCCGCGAGCACGTGCAGGCCCGGAGACAGCTCTCGGCATCTGCCAGCCTCTCTCGGGACTCATCTCTGCAGTCAGGCCTGGTGGCTTCACAGCCTCTAGCAACGACCGAGGACACAGGTGAGGAATACTCGACATTCGAATGGCAGAAGCCTGCCGCCAAGCAGACGCCACTGATTTTCTGACCCACTACCCCTTTGGAAGCTAGTGATCAG